AAAAAAAAAAAAAAAAAAAAAAAATTAAAACAAAAATCACATCCATAATCAACAACAAATATCAATAATGATGATGATATATACATTATTCTTTATTTTATAAATAGACTGTGTTCAAATAAATACCGTTTTCACGTGATCAAAGCACTGTCCCTCGGGGGTTTTGTGAAGGAAAATGATGAGAGGGCCCAATATATTGTCAGGTATTTAAAAAGTGCATAAAGCCAGGTTAGTCTGCTCAAGCCTATAATCCCAGCTACTCCGGAGGCTGAGGCAGGAGGTTCTCAAGTGTGAGACCACCCTGGACAACTTAGGAAGGCCCTCCCCCATCTCAAAATAAAAAAGTAAAACTAAAAAGGGCTGGGGGTAGGTCAGGGTTAGAGCACATTGAGGTTAAAACCGCAGTACAGAAAAACAAAAAGAGAAGGAAAAAAAGGAGGAAAGGAAAGAGAAGAAAAGAAGGAAGGGAAGAGAAGGGAAGTGGAGCTCAAAAATCTTAGATGTCCTCGGCAGTTTTGGTAACCACCTGAAACGACCTTTATGTTTTACAGCCTTTTACAAAACCGAAAGCAGCAACTGCACATATCTTGGAACTATCCGGGCAAGGGGCCAAAGAAAAAGGAAGCCCTGTGTGAAGAAAAAACAAGGGCCCCCTGGCCTCACCCAGGTTCACACAGGAAACGCAGCAAGGCTTCTGAAAAGAGGCACTAGTGGAGCTTAACTTCAATGCCAATTGTCCTTTATCCCGTGTTATTAGATTACCTTACGTCTCGGCACCTCGATTTCCTCACTGCTGAGACTCGGGTGGTCCTAGGATTGACCACCGAGGCACATTTTGCAAAGTAAGTGGCATACAGTCCATGAGGCCCCCGCACACCCCGGGCCGCCCCGCACCTCCCGATCCGCGCAGAACTCGAGCCCCGGTTCCCCCGCAGGGGGCAAGAAGAGTGCGTCCTGGGCCCGCTCCCCGGTGCGCTCCACGGAGCTCGACACACCGAGCAGCACCGAGCGACCCCATCAGAGCAGGACAGTAGAGGCAGAGCTGCCGGGGAATGGGTGGTGGAGGGGAACACTCACGATGGATGGCGTCCACGGCCGTCAGGGCCAGCACGGCCACGACAGCCAGAGCGGAGCTCGGAGACATCGCGCTGGATCCCGAGGCAATGACCTGCCCGCCCGCCCGCTACCCGCTTATATACTCCGTGCGCCCCGGCCAATCAGGAGCCGGCCCGCCGAGGGCGTCACCAGTCTCCCGGCCCGCCGCGCTGAGCGAAGTTAGAGAGGGGACTTTCTGGTTTTCAGTTTCATTTTCCTATAAAGGATCGTGATGTGTACGACTGCACGGACTGGACTGGGTGCGCCCCTGTCTGTACCGGGTCGTCCTCGGGGCAGAGATGACCTATTGCGCTATCCCCACAGAATGTCCAGAGCCAGGGAGGACCTTCCATGCCTCTTAAATCCCTGTAGGCAAAAGCCTTTACATTATTGTCATCGCTATTGTTTAAGTAACTTTCTTTGTTCTGTTGATGGGGGTGGGGAGGCCCCAATAGTGAAAGGAGTAACTGCTTTAGAGATACAGAACGCCAGGCCCCGAGGGGACATCTTTCCATTGACAGTACCAGCTAGAACTGCCTGGTCCACAGCAGGTACCAGGTGAACTGAATATAAGTGATTCCAGGAATAAACTCCAGGGGGGAGAATTACCCCCACTGATTGTACGAGTGGGATTCCCATGGCATTTCTGCTTTGTCCACTTGAAAAGCAAAGAGCTTCACAGTTTCGGCGAGAGTTTGGATCGCTTCCGCTTTGGGCCCACCGAGTAAGTTAAACACCTCACTGGAAGAGCATGACACTGACAGGCAGATTCACTATGAAAACCTACACTCTCAACGCCATAAAACAGGTGCAGCCCTTACAGAGTGGCCGGGTCCAGGGGTCATTATTGAGTGAGGCAGAGAGAAGAGGAAGTGATGGTAGGGACCTAGAGGATCTTGGAAAGCACCGCGGCTTCAGCTGAAGGGATTTGTGTTGAGCTTCCCCAGGAGGATATTAGAAAAAAATCGGGTTTCTTTTACATGTTTTTTAAACTTTTAACGGTCCCTATTGTGGAGGTCAGGTCTACGCTAGACAAAGTGGAATACTCAACACAGACCTAATGAAATAAGAAAACGCACAGAGGTCATCTTACGGTTCCCAGTACATAGCGTTCAAAAACGTGTAAAAATACTAAAATCGTTGTTATTTAACTTGTTTTTCTATGAGCCCTTTCTATAACTCCGAAATATAAGAATAATTGTTATGCATAAAGCTATGTGTTAAGACACTTCTGCCATCCTCCCCCTCAGAAACTCATTTAAATTGTTTCAGACCTGAAGCACTAGTGTTAAATTGTACCAGAAAATATTGGTGTTGAATTATACTAGAAAGTGCTTTAGGAGTATAGGAAGGGACAGGGCTATGTTGGGCCTCCAGCTCCTTATTTATATCACAGAAAAATACTAAATTTAAAATCATTAAATATAGATTGAGCACCATTCTCTTAGAAAAATCAATTTAAAAAGCAATTAAAAAAAAAAACGTATACAGAGAAAAGGCCAGTGATACGTATCTCTAATCCCAGCTAATCATAAGGCTGAGGCAGTAGATTCACTTGAACCCAGGAGTTCAAGGCCAACTGGTCAACATAGTGATACCCCATTTCCAAAACCAAGCAAAACAATGAAAGGGCTAGGGCTGTAGCTCAGTAGGGGAGCACTTGCCTAGTATGGACTGAGGCTGTGTTCAATTCCTAGTACTGGGGTGAAAATGCAGAATAAAAACAGTGACAACGAAGTTCTTGTTTTGTTTTTGTTTTCAGTTTTCTGAATGTGGGGAATTATACTAGAATACTAGAATACTTTCCTGGATTTTTCTTAGATTGCCATTTATTATATGACTTGAATAGTCAGGCTGAAAAAGAGAATAAAACTTTTTTAAAAAACAAGAGTACTAGTCGTGGTGGCGCATGCCTGTAATGTCAGCACTTGGGAGGCTGAGGCAGGAGGATTGCTGCAAGTTGGAGGGCTACAAAGTGAGTTGAAGGCCTGCCTGAATTGCACAGCAAGACCCTGTCTCAAAAAGAAAAAAAGAAAACTCTTTTACTAGGGGGCAAACTTTGGAAATCTATGAAAATGACAATTTAATAGTATCTCTCAGAGATGGCTTTTTTAAACTGAAAATTTTACTTTTATTTTTATAGGTTTATACTAGGAAGTCAATATTTAATAATTCATTGCTCACAGCTGAGCTATAAAATTTTTAACCCTTAACTTGTGCATTAATATCCTGTGACTTCAAGTTAATGATTAATTTATTAAATTTCAGCGCGATGGTGGCAGCTCCTTAAGACAGCAGAAGGGGGATTTAGGCCAGGAAGATCCGAGTCCATCCGCAGCGTGGAGAGGACAAGCGAGCTGGGCAGGTGCCGGAACAGCGGCGGCGACTCTCGGACTGTCCCTTCCGTCCCTTATGGAGGCGCTGGGAGTGGCGGGGCGGCCTGAAAGCGATGATGAAAGCGGGGCTGTGAGGGGGGCGGAGCCGGACCGGACCGCAGTCGCTGCTGAAGCAGCGCAGCTTCCCGGAGCGCAGACCCAGGAAGCGGCCGGGCGTGCAGCAGCAAGCGGCGCGCTGCCACGGAGCTGAAGGTCCGGAACAGATACTGGCTGGGCTGCAAGATCGGGAGCGGCTCCTTCGGAGACAGCTATCTCGGCAGGCACCTTGCTGCAGGAGGAGAAGCTGCCATCAAGCTTGAATGTGTCAAGACCAAACACCCTCAGCTTCACATGGAGAGCAAAATCTACAAAATGATGCAGGGAGGAGCAACTATCACAAAGAATCAACAACTGGGATCTCATCTTATTAAAAAGCTCTTGCACAGCAAGAGAAACCACCAACAGAGTGAAGAGACAACCCACGATGTGGGAAAAAATGTTTGCCAGCTGTTCCTTAGACAAAAGGATTTCTCTTGAGAACATACAAAGAACTCAAAAAAAAAAAAAAAAAAGAAAGAAAGAAAGAAAGAAAAGAAAAGAAAGAAAAAAACAACAGGCCTCCCAAATTTAAAGACCCAGTCCAAAAATGGGCATCTGAAATGAATATACACTTCTCAGATAAACAAATATAAACAGCAAATAAATATATGAATGTTCAACATCACTGATCATTCGAGAGATGCAATTTAAAACAACATTGAGATTCCATCTCTCCCTAGAAAGAATGGCTATCATCAAGAAATCAATAACAAGTGCTAGAAGGGCTGTGGTGAAAAAGGAATCCTTCTCCAGTGTTGGTGAAAGTGTAGACTGGTGCAACCACTGTGGAAATCTGTGGAGTATTCCTCAAAAAACTAGGATTGGAGGTCCCATTTGACCCAGCTATTCCCCTTCTGGGTATCTTCCCAGAAGAATTAAAAACATCATACCACAGGAATATATGTGCCACCCATGTTTATAGCAGCACAATTTGTAACAGCTAGATCTTGGAAACAACCCAAATGCCCATCAACAGAGGAATGGATAAAAAAGAAAAAGATGTAGTTGAGCGGGGCATGGTAGCACAAGCCTATAATCCTAGCACTGGAGAGGGTGAGGCAAGAGGATCGTCGGGAGTTCGAGGTCAGTCTGGGCCACAAAGTGAGTTCACGAGCAGCGTGAATTACATAATGAGATCCTGTCTCAAAAAGACCAAACAAAAAAAAGAGCAATCTTTTTATGCAATGGAGTAGAAAGATGTAGTCTTTTTATACAGTTTTCACTCAGCCATAAAGAATGAAAAGCTGGAGACTTTTGTAGGTAAATGGATGCAGCTCAAGACCATACTTACAAGTGAAATAAACCAGACCACGTGTGTAAACATTGTATTGTTTCCCTACTGAAAAGCTGAAAGAGTAAATATGATTCAAATTGTACAATAGATATTTTAAAGTGGGAAGAAACTTCAAAAGGAAAGAGAAACTTGGATAGGGGAATGGAAAAAGGGAAAAGCAAAAAAAAAAATGTGTGTATGTGTATCTATATATCTATAGATAAATATATATATGATAAGATATACTACTAATTTCTCTTAGTTCATTGAAAGAAAGGTTTGTGCTAATATTGTTTGGATAATTAAATGCCAGTATCTTGTACTCTGAGTAACTAATTTAAAGATAACTATACATAATATAGTAACCATTGTTACCCTCCTTAAAAAAAATTTATTAAAGTTTACAGACAGCATAGTCTCACTGACATAACATTTAGCCTGAAGTCCTACGCTCTCACAAATTAAGCCTAGGCAGCATCAAACTGCCCTGAAACCTGATTGTGTTCCTGCAATAAATTTGTGTATATACACGAACAAAATTAAACTGAAGTGTGTATATTTTACAAGAAAAGGAACAAATTTTTCACAGCAAGTTAAAATTTAACATTAAAATTTTAACAAATTTTAAATAAATAAATTTATTTATTTGTTCATACATTCACTTTTGGGTTTTTTGAGATAGGGTTTCCCTGTGTCATTCAGGCTTGCCTTGAACTCTATGTAATAGTCTGTGCTGGCCTCGAACTCAATATAATCTTCCTGCTTCAGCCTCCTGAGTGCTGGGATTACACATGTGTGCCACTATGCCCAGCCTAAATTTTAACCTTATTATGGTGTTTTATTGAACTTTTCAAAATGCTTGTTTCACTGTCAATTACAAATAATTTCATCTAGGACTGCTTTTTAAAATTCGCCCTACACTTTGAAATGGTTATGGAATTCATATAATTTTTAAAATGTCAAAATGTGCTATATATATTATACTCTTCTGCTAGCCTGGGCTAGTATCTTCCACAACAAGATACCGAAAGAAGATACCAAAACTACTGAATAAAGTATATTTTATAATCAATAGGTAGTTGATTAATTTCTCTGAAACTATAAACATCATTTCCCAAATTTTCTAAGATTTTGTAAGATTTGATTCCTTACATAGTTTTAAAGTTTAACTTACAGTTACAGAGGGGAGGACCTCAAATATTAACTTTTTATGTCCTTTCTTGGTCCCTCAGTGTCTTTGTTACTTTTCTTTCTTTCTTTTTTTTTGGTACTGGAACTCAAACTCATGACCTTGCGCTTGCCAGGCAGGCGCTGTGCTGCTGAGCTGTATCCCCTGCCCTT